TGACAGTCACTGGACTCCAGGGGTTGCCTCACAATCAGGGGGTTCATTCGGGGTGGAAGCAGCGGCCGAAGCTCTTCCTGCAGTCGGGGCATTTTTAGGGCTTCTCTTACTGCTGGGTCCGTTGGTGTCTGGTCAACTTAGAGCTCTGGGTGAAGCTCTTCCCACACTCCCCACACTTGTAGGGCCTCTCCCCGGTGTGGATGCGCCGGTGGGTGATGAGGTGAGAGATCTGCTTGAAGCCCTTCCCGCAGTCGGAGCAGCGGAAGGGTCTCTCATCCGTGTGCATCCGCTGGTGCAGGAGCAGACTGGAGCTGGTCTGAAACCTCTTCCCACATTCCAAGCACTTGTAGGACCGTTCCCCAGTGTGAATGAGCTGGTGGGTGTGGAGGCTGGAGCTGTCACTGAAGCTCTTCCCACATTCCCCACACAAATAGGGTCGTTCCCCAGTGTGGATGCGCTGGTGTCGGATCAGGTGGGAGCTCTGCCTGAAGCTCTTCCCACATTCCCTACAAGTGTAGGGACGTTCCCCAGTGTGGATGTGCTGGTGCTTGAGGAGGTTGGTGCTCTTCCTGAAGCTCTTCCCACATTCCAAGCACCTCAAGGGTTTCTCCGTGCTGGGAGGATGCTCAGGGACCACCAGCTCACAGCTCCACCTCAAGCTCCGGCCACCTTCCCAGCACAGGCTGGGTCTTTCCTCCTCAGAGCACCCTGGGCTGGCTTTGGAGCCCCTCCTGCGAGGGGATCCTTGGGCCTTTTCCTCCCCACTGCCTTCCTGCACCGTGGAGCCCTTCAAAACAGCCTCTCCCACCAGGGTCTGCCAGGGGGATTTGTCCTCCAGGCTCTCCATCCTCAGCTCGGGGCCTGGGGCAGGAAGCAAGAAGGACAGGGAGGGGATTTGCCTCCGGCCCAGAGGGAAGGTCAAGGACATCCCCCAACTCCGGCCCCGGCAGGACGGCGGCGGCAGCGGGGTTGTCCTGCAGCCAGGGGCCATGCTCGGCTGCCAGAGCCAGCACAACACCCGCCCAAAGGGCCACTGACTTCCTCCTCACCTGCCTGGGGGGCCCAAGGCATCTTCCTCTTCCTCGCAGCCTCCTCCTCCATCCGCCCAAGCTTTGGGAAGGACAAATCCTGATGGGGGAGAAAACAAGGGCTGAGAGCTTGGTGGTTCCTCCTGCCCAAGTCCATCTCTAGAACTCACCGGGCATCCTGTGCCCATAAAAACCTCCAAAACACCAAGATTCAGCCCAGAAAAAACCCAACGAGATTCAGGCAAAAAACCCCTCAGAAATAGCAAGAAGGCTTTGTCCCCAATAAACTGCAAAAAGTTGAGATTCAGCCAAAATATACTCCAAATTATGAAGATTAAACCAAAAATAAGATGTTTAATTGGTAGGATGAGGAGAGCAAAGCCATTTCATGAGCACCTGATTGAATTGTTATATATTAATCAAAAGCTGTATTAATGTAGTGTCCCTTAAAACTCAATTTTTTTCTTCCTATTTTCAGTGTAGAGAATAAATATGAAATCACTGGACTTCAGGCCTGCATCATTACCCCTGTGCTTTGGTTTGCAAATCCTTCCTCATTCTACTTCTTCTCCCCTGCCATCATTTCTGACAACTGGACTCCTCTGCTGTGCTGTGCCAGTATCCTGGGATGTGCGGTTTCCATGTTTGCAAGGATTAAAGGCAACTTTTTGCCTACCAGTGCCAAAGGCTGGTCTGTGAAGTTTAGTGTAAGAGGATCCTGGGCAATCAGACACTGAAATTGTTGAGCTGGAACAGGCCATGCCAATGGAATGACAGAATCCATTCTACTGGCCCAGACACAGAATCTGTGGTTGTGGCTCTTTGCCTCACTGGCACCATCCTCTGTGGTTCCTGCTGCCCACCATGGCACTGGCAGCCCCAGGGGCACAGGGACGTCAATCCTGTACATGAAGTCAGAGTCAGACTGTCCACAAGTGTTAGCAGGAATAAAACAGTGCACTGCTGACCTTCTCGAATTTATCTCTATTAACGTCTGACTTCACTTGGTCAATCTGTGTCATCTTGCACAGCATTACGTGGGTTTATGATTTTTAATATCGCTGCACCAAATTAATCTGGAATGTGTAGTCAGAACAGTAATTACCTGTATTTGTGTATAGCTGTGAGCTCTTCTATTTTTTATGCTTTCTGGCAAATTCACTGGCAACTTCTTTCACAACTACACAATGGGGACTGAATTTAACCCCCCAATAGGAAAGCAGTTTGATTTCAAGCTCTTCTTCAAGGGGCGCCCTGGGATTGGAGCCTGGGCTCTAATTAACCTCTCCTGTGCTGCCACACAACAGGAGCTGTATGGCCAAGGGACAAACTCTGTGATCCCTGTCAGTGTCCTTCAGGGAAATTGGGAGGAGGAAATGAAGAAACCAGTTTGGAACTAAACCCACGTTAAAGTGGGAAAAACCTCCTTCCACGGAAATAAAACTTTGTTTTTCCTGGGCTAAAAAAGTTCATTCAGGGATGAAGGACTGGGACTTCTGTGGACACTTGTGTTCCTTCACAGAGCCCCTGGAAACACTCTGCTGTTCACTCCCAGTGCCACCAGTGCCTGGGTCCTGTCTGCAGCAGCAGATTGCAGTGGGACGGGAGAAATGCTTTTCTGAGCCTCTGGGCTGGACACAGGCACAGCCTGACCCTGAACCCAAGGGAAACAAAGACAAATTCCACAGCTTTAGCTGGAGCAAGTTTGGGGGGGGTTCCTGAGGGCAGCACTACACCAGACTTTTGTGTGTGTGTGTGTGTGAGACAGGCAGAACCACAAATGCCTGCACACCCCAGAGCAGTGTGGTGCTGGGCTTGCTGCTGCAGAGACCCCCAGGGAACAAACCCAGGCAATAGTTTGGGTTTATTCCTTGCTCTGTGTCAATGGAATAGAATGTTCTACAGGAGCTCTGTCCCCCTCTGTGGCACTGGGTGGCTCGAAGTTGAAGGGGTGTGGGGGGGGTCAAGTGCAAGTTCCCTTCTGAAGTGTGTGTCCCTAAGGAGGACACTTGCCTTATTATTGCTTGTTATTTGTAATATCTTACAGATATATCATACAATATCTAAGGATGGATTCTATAGAATACATGCCATATATATGATACAGAATATATCTGATTATTGCTTTATTTGTCTGTCCAGACAGATATTGTGTATGCAGAGAGATTGTATTTGAGGGATATGTTCTTCTCAATACCCTGTTAGCTCCAGTCCCAAGGCCAGCAAATTCCTGAAGCTCCCACTTCTGTGCCCTGCAGGTTTTGGCAGATTTGCAAGAGCAGGGGAATCATTCCCTGCAGCCCCTTTGCACTGTAGGAAATGGGAGCACTGTGCACATCCTGCTGCCTCCAGATTCCATTCTGGGTGTGGGAACAACCCTGTGGGGAGCAAAGAAATGCCTGGTTCTGCAGGAGCTGGAGATGCTCAAGGGACCGCAGGACCAAGTCAGGGGCCTGGGGAGCTTTGGGGTCTGGGAGGGTCCTGGGGGAGCTGGGGAGGGGCTTTGGGGATTGGGGGTACAAACCCAGACAGACCAGTACAGACCAGGACAGACCAGTACCTCCTCACTGCTCCCCAGATCTCTCCTGGAGCTGGGACACATTGTCATGGGACACCTGAGCCTCCCCCAGTGCCCTCCCAGTACAGCCCAGTGTCCCCAGTGCAGCCCACTGTGTTCCTGTCCCAGGGTGCCGGGTGATCCCTCTTTGGGGGTGGTTGGAAGGGATTTGAGGGGGGGACTGGGGGAGATTTGAAAGGATCTGGGGGGGTTGCATGGGGGTTTGGGTGCATTTGGGGGAGTTAAAACACGTTTTGGGGGCATTGGGGCATCAAAGGGATCCGTGGGGGGAGGGGATTAAAGGGAAAATCGAGGTTAGGGGACATTTGGAGGGGGGG